CACACGCTTTACAGTGACCACCACCCTTTAACTAAAGTATATCAAAAAATCTGTATTATGTCGTCTAAATATACTCATAGGTTAAGAATCGTGAAAAGGTTAAATTAGCGCAGTCAGTTTAGATGTTGTAAATACACATCCCTATCCGACACTAACATGCATAAATGGCACAATTGTTTTTGAAAAATATATATTGTTTTACAGTCATTTTATTTTATTTTAGAAAACAAGCAGCCTGGCGACTGAGATAGCTCCGCTGTTAGTAATGCACATTTCAATTAAAGAACAGAAGATATCATTAAACCAAAGAAAGCTTAGAAAGAACTCTGAGAGTATTGAAGACACATTAAAAACTAATTAAAAATTACTTGTACTTTAGATATTGATGGAATAGCTGGAAACTACCGTACTCGACCGCGTTAGCGCCCAGGGGCCTCAACTCAGAAAATCATGATTTTTTAGGGGTGGGCGCTTACCCGAGCACCCCCCTCGAAAAAGAGTGCAAATGAGAAAAATTGATTCATTCATCAAGTGACAGATTACAGCTTTGAGGGAAAATCAAATTACGAAATTAGTTGCGTAGTCATTGATTTTCACAATGAAGAAACAGAAAAGATCACAAAAAATATGCACATTTTATTACTATAATAATTACGTACCACCAGAATTTACGAAATTAAAAACATTTTGAGTCTGTTGGAACAAAGTCGAAGTCAAAATTGTCATTATCTCCACTGACAAAGGTGTTGGATCGTACGGATCTCGATGAAAATTGCTTTCCGCCATGATTTTACCTGCAGCAGCGACCTTTGACCCCATGGGTCAAGTTGCTTATTAACCAATCAGAATGCTGCGTTGTACTGACGCAATTCTTCGGAAATTCACGAAAACTTTCTGGTAACGCAATGCGGAAGTGAATTATCGATGTCGAAGTACGATCTGTTGGATATGATTTCAGCAAATAAACGACATGAAATATTTACCGCATTTTACTTGTATTAACAGGTCATTGTCGAAGCATAGTTTACGCACGGTTACCGTGTTCTACACATTCACATCATGTTCACAGCAGTCGATATACATGCTGTTTCATATAAAAACGATTACCAAGATTAAATTAGTTTTAAATTAGTTGCATTTTGAAGGGGTGGGCGCTTTGCCGAATGTGACCCCAAATATAAAAATTGCGCAAAAGTGTGGGGTGGGCAATGTAATTATGTAAATCAGGTAACAGATTTGAGTGTAAAACTTATAAGGGCTACGTAATGTAATATCTATGTACCAAGTTTCATTGAAATGTGATTAGAACAAAAAAACTATGAATTATTATTAGAGAACAAATTTCAACCCAAAATTAATCGGCCCGTCTATTGTTCTAGAGCATTTATGTACCAAATTTTATTCAAATGTGATGATCAGTAATTGAGATATCAGTGTTAATTAATTATTTTAATTAGGTAATTAATAAGTATAAATATTTACCAAAAACTAATTGGGTCTCTGCATAGTCCTAGGTTCATTGAAATGTGATGATGAATACTCTATAAAAGTTTCAATAAAATCTAATTAGTGGTTCTTTATATATCAGTGGAACATTCATGGAAAAAATTAACTAATTATGCGAATTAGGTAATTAATATCCACAATTATTTAGAGTCAATTATTTATTCAATGTCCTAGAGGATCTATGTAGCCTCATTGAAATATGATGATCAGTAGTCAGTGTCTTATGATATCTATGTACTACCGTAAGTTTTATTGAAATGTGATTAGTACTTGAGATATCAGTGAAAAAGCCAAACATTGATTAATCATTATGCAAATTAGGTAATTAATATTGCACAGATTTTTACCCAAAACTAATCAAATCTGCGCATTAGTTCAGAGCATCTATGTGCCAAGTTCCATCAAAATCCAATGAGTGGTTCTTTAGATATCAATCATGAAACAGCTAAAAATCAGCTAATTATCATGCAAAATAGATAATTAATATGCATGGATTTTTACCAAAACCTAATCAAATCTGTGGATTGGCCCAGAGCATCTGTGCACCAAGTTTCATCAAAAATCAATGTATGGTTCTTGAGATATCAGTGGAACAGACAGACACACACACATAGACAGACAGACAGACAGACACACTAACTGCAAAGACTCCCTTTTTGTGCTTTGCACACAGAAGTAAAAAATGAACAATATGTATAGTATCAAAGCAATCGGACTTGCAGTTTTCAACAAGAAGTCGAAAATATCACTTTTTACCAAAAATGACAAAAATATTCACCAAAATTAGAGAACTGAAGATATCATCACAAAATGAACAAATCTGAGAAAGGTCTACATGTAGTATCTATATATGTAATATCAAAGCAATTGAACTATTGGTTTTTAACAAGAAGTCGAAAATATCACTTTTTACCAAAAATTACAAAAATATTCACCAAAATTAGAGAATTGAAGATATCATCACAAAATAAACAAATCTGAGAGAGGTCCACATGTAGTACCTATATATGTAGTATCAAAGCAATTGGACTAGCGGTTTTTAACAAGAAGTCGAAAATATCATTTTTTCCAAAACTGACAAATACATTCACCAAAATTAGAGAATTAAAGATATAATGAAAAGAACAAATCTAAAAGAGGTCTACCCATGACACGGATGACGACACACAATCACTCATATGATAAGCTCAACTCGACAAAGCCAACGACGGCAGAGCTAAAAATGTCAAATGATATACATGAAATTGTAAGTAGCAGCGGTTCCCATAGATCGCATAGGAACACATCTTGTCAGTAAAAAAAAAAAAATTGTTGTGATAGTCCTTGGCATCAACAAATAACTTATAAGATCTATAAATATAAGCTCTATACCACTGAAGAAAATGTTGAGAGAGTTCCTTGCAAATGATGGTAAACAATGGAACATGCTATTTCACTCCATTTTGTACAAGATTTTCTCCGAACTGAGGTCAATAATTTTTCATTCTTGTAACATTAAATTTCACATATGTAAAAAGAATAGAAATTATTTTTTTACTTTTGCGTTGCACACTAACATAAATAGTGTCTTCAAGACGAACGTGCGACTATCATATAAATACCACTTACAAGTTTCCTGATTCTGTCCAATACCAAATCGGCAATATCTTTACCAACAGTGTAATGACCTCGGGCGAAGTTATTTGCTGCGTCCTCTTTCCCAGACACCATTTGATCTGGATGAAAGAGCTGCCGATACGTACCAGTACGGATTTCATCTACGGTGCGAAAATACAAGCAGTTATGAACAGTTAGTAGAGGTCTCATGCCACTAATCAATCAATGACAATTTAAATGCCTTACAAAAACCAATGAAATTGTTTTTAATATTTTTTTTTCTCAGGTCCTGTTTGAGGGCGTGGTTACCTGGGTCAAAGGTGAGACTAACATGTGGTCTTTTGTTTATTACTTTGCGGGTTTATTCTGTGTGTATTTGGATGTTCTAATCTTTTTTGTGTTTTTCCAGTGATTTCTCTAGGTGCAATCCAAATACAGTTGGTGTGTCTTGTTTACCCGAGTTTTGCAAGAGTTTGAGCTGGCCAACATGTTTGTTTTTTTCATGTGGTTGATTACTGGCATGTTGATTTCCCATTTTTGGGCCATGTTTTCAACTTTGTTTATTGTTTTCATATAGCAATCTCCTCATATGTTAACATTGTCGCCTATGAGTCCTTTAATATGAGCCCTATAATAACGCTGTCAAAGATGGGAAATAACAAAACTGCGAAATCCCGCGTTATGCTTTAAATCAAGTATAAAAATAGAACAGACAAAGATCATAGCATCGTATACGTAGTGATGTCATGGGATTCAACAAACGCTATATTTATTTTTAAATTTTGGCGCTTTTTGCTGAAGTATATCTCAAAGCCATAATCCCCCTGGAAGCTCAGTATTTCAATATTCAACTATAAACAAAATAAAGTTCAAATCATTCAATTGTTTGTAGTAGATTGACAGTCAGTGCTGTTCGTATATTATGCTAATTCTCACACCGACTGGAATATGTTCTCGGTTCCAATCGAAACTTTTCTACAAATATTTAATTTTTCACGTTTTATATTATTTAACATATTCATAAATCTTGTATGCTTTTTTAGTGAATTAAAAACCCAATGCTAATTATATATTTTAAGGTTTGCACTGTTTGAAGCGGCTCGACATGCTCATCAAAATTTGTTGACCCAAGTTGTGTATTAGGATGATATAAAAAACAAAAAACAGTAGCATTAACCAAATTCCCTATTTCAGCCCACTTCTTGCCAATTAAAACAGGCCGTCACAGGGGAATAAATAAAATAGGTAATTTTCCGTACAACTGCGAGATCTCGCGAGATGCATGAAAGAGCGCGTCGAACGTCTGCTGCAAAAACTCGAATTTCTTTATTTCGTAGCGCACATCGACCGGCCGATCTTCGACAGAGGAATATTGCATTCGAATATCCTCACTTAATCAAAATTGCCCATCATCAAATGTGTACAGCACATTATTGACATGGAAATGTTCCCCAAAATACTTTCGCGTTTGTCGAATCTCACGCGATGTTTGACGCCACTACGACGCTATGACCTTTGTTTGTCCTGTTTTTACGTTCGATTTCACGCATAACGCGTGATTCTCGCAGTGAACGGAAAATGGTCTATTGACAGGGTATTAACAAGTGTGACTCTAATGATGTGGACGATGAAAAACATTATTTTTTTTATTGTGAACATAACAGTTTTTCAGAACATAGGAAAAAATTCCTTTATGCACTATTTATATACTCACCTGATTATCAAACCTTACCAAATGGAGAATTGTTTATCAATGTTTTCTCAAGTGTAGACAAATATGTTTGTAGTATTTTAGCTAACTTTGTTATTCAGATTTTAAAATTATTTTAGATTAATTGTGTTACTTTATGTTTCTTATATTGAACTTTACTCAAGCATTGTTTTTGTGTACGTTTCAAATAAAATGTCCTATCCTATCCTTATGCTCCAGTCAATGTCAACCCGACCCCTCCCACCTTGGACGATACTGAACAAATGTAGGGCATTAGACAGGGTTTACGGCCAAACTGTGCCTGTGGAGGTGGGGTAATAGCCATGTTTCGTGTCCAGTCATCGGTAGCTGCGCAGGCGTATACGTTCATTCAGTACTCTGCTGATAGCAAGCATGGCGGGAAGTGGTGATCGGTGGGGGAAATGTGGGGGGGAGGTTTGGGCGAGGATTTGCCTATCCTTCTTGCCCAAGGAGGTGGGGGATTTGGCAAATTTTACAATAATAATTTTCAAATCCCCCACTAAACCCAGAGGTGGGGAGGGTAGGGGGTTGACATTGACTGGAGCATTATTTAATAATACATCATTTTGTACTCACCTATTACTGTTGGCTCAAGGTCAACAAAGATTGACCGCGGGACATATTTTCCAGCACTCGTTTCTCTGAAGAAGCAGTCCCCAATACCGTGGCCGTTGGCAACATTTTTATCGCTTGGCGTCTGTCCGTCGGGTTCTATGCCGTGTTCCAGACAATATAGCTCCCAGCATGCATTGCCGACCTGCACACCGGCCTGTCCAATATGAACTGAAATGACTTGACGCTGTGAATTCAAAACGTATCATGGTAAATATTCACTGTACAGGAATATACTAAATTTAATATCGTCATGTCATGGCCTGTATCCGAGGATGGTATACGATACTGACAGCGGGGACCATTGACAATAAATAAACAGATAAATTATAATTACTCGTTGAGTTCGCGCGAACAATAATATTTCCCTGGCGGTTGTAGCTGCACGCGGAAGACGTAAACAACACACACAATATACTCACACTCATCCTAGTTTAGCAAGTAACTTGTTGATCAAAAATAAAACAATAACTGAAATTATTGATCGTGTGCCGTGACTTCAAGGTGTCGTTGCACACAGGGGAAGTACTGAAGTATTTGCAATGATGCACACGCTTATATACTAGTACTTACTGGTTATCAATGATGTCATCGTCTCTGAGAACTTCCTCCAATGCTAGCCCCGGATTTGATATCCAGTATTTTCCAGACCGGTTATAGCTGCTGTGCATGTGACATTCTTTTAACTCGTGCGAGGAAAATACCGTGATCCAAAATACGTCACTGCAACGTGGTCGACTGAGTTATGGGATGCCATTGATGACCTTCCGAGTGCATCCTTAATTTCTATGCACATTGTAAATGAGTCGCTTTCTCTTAATTTACTGTCATCCGTTCCGCGATCTCTCCAATAAAACGATGTATTCGAGACATATCGTCATCGATATCATGTAATTTATAAGAAACCAGTAGTTGATTTGTTGACATCGATTGAACACGAAAAACACGATGTTGCGGGTTATTTCTAGTTCATACTGGAACGCGAAAAAGCTGTTTACATGGATTGAATCATCGACGGAGGGCGCACTTCAAAATGTATGAGTCATCGTTAGTTCATTCAGGTTCGCTCTATTCTACAGTATACGCCTACGAATGTTTTAGATCGCTGGTCGTATTACAACACAACTACCAACAATACTGGAGGGTTTAATGTTTACTATTGTAAGCTACCAGAGTATCCTATGGTTAGAGCGCCACCAGTGGCAGTAATCTATTATTAGTGCGGTTCGCGAATTGCGAGAGTCTCGCGTTTTGCGAGAATCGCCATTTTTACTTTTACTTGTTGTGCATTGTATTCTACGTCCAAATTACTCTACTAGATTTCCCAGCGTGATTAGTTTAGTTACATAAATCGTTAATTATTTGAGTTGTCTATTACAAGGAGACTTATTCAAGATTATTGTGAGATATTATGAGTTTATATTTCGCGTAAATTCAGTCGAGTTTACATTCATTGCGGCAGTCTTCAAACTTGTGCAGTCTTTGCTGAATAGATCTCGCTTTCGTCTGCAACTTATGTAAACAAAGTTTAAGATTCTCTGTTGTACCTTTTGTAGTTGAGAATACCATTTCAAAGTTTATTATTGTTAGTTAAGGTATATATATTTGAAAGTACAGTGAGAAATTTTCAAACATCACACGTTTTATGAAGGGCACCACGTTTGGCCATCTAATAGGTGATTTTCCGTACAATTGCGAGATCTCGCGAGATGCATGAAAGACGAGCGTCGAACGTCTGCCGCAAAAATCGAACAATTTGATTTTGAACTCGAATTTCTTTATTTCGTAGCTCACATCGACCGGCCGATCTTCGACAGAGGAATATTGCTTCCGAATACCATTACTTAATCGAAATTGCCTATCATCAAATGTGGACAGCACATTATTAAGCATGGAAATGTTCCCCAAAATACTTTCGCGTTTGTCGAATCCCACGCGATGTTTGACGCCACTACGACGCTATGACCTTTGTTTGTCCTGTTTTTACGTTCGATTTCACGCATAACGCGTGATTCTCGCAGTGAACGGAAAATGGTCTATTAAAAATTGTTGTTATGCATGGTGCACTCCTTACGAACATTTTTATACCTTTTGAATTTTTGGGATATTTCTGCATTGTATTCTTATTAGTTTTTGTTATTTCTTCTGTATTTACAGTTTGACCATTCATTCATTTGTCAATTACCATTCGTTGACCACTTATTGAACAATTCGTTGGTTCGACATTTATCAGTGAACATTCTACCATTCTGCTGTTCATCATTTTACTAGTGAACATTCAACCAATCAGTAACTACTATTCATAGTGGCATTTGTGGTATTTATTGATATTGTCAACAACAACTACTACTACTCTTTTTTCACACCCTGGACCCGCCTACTGTCATTTTAAATAGTGTCCACTTTTAATCACGAATAAATCAACTGGTGGTGTTATCACGTAGTTTTTAAACTTTGTTGTGTGTTTTATTTCTGTTTTGGGACTGGTAGGGGGGATCGTTACCCGTTGTGGTGAGAACCAGTGAGACTGGCCTGCTTGCAGGGTCCCAAAGCTTAACGTTGTACGTTATTTCGTTTTCTTTTACGTTATTTGTCCTTGTCAAACTGCTAATTAAAAATCACTACTACTAACAGCTAACTTTAATAACAACTATCAACATAACAACAACTACCTGTAAACATTAGTGGTGATTGCGTTCAGCACAATGGAAATAAATATATACAACGACTAATCTGTTAATGTTGTCATTGTATTGGCTACAACTATGTTGCAAGACGTGTTTAATGAATGAATGAAAATAAATAAATAAACAAACTATTTATATTAATGCCCTCCATCAAAGAAACTAATAACGAAATTTATCACAAAGTTGCTCTAAACAGTTTTATGTACTGTCAATATGCGCACACAGTATCTCCGGCCAGAGACGGAATATGAGAGGTCAACGAACTCTTCCAATTGTTGTTAACATTTATAGCAGTGTCACTAATTCAGAAGTACAAGTAACGCAATATAATGCGCCAAAACACATCTGAACTGACACTAGTTTTTATTAATATAAGAAAACCAGAATGTTCGATTTACGTAATTTGGGAAACGGATGGCGCGTCTGTCGGTGACTTCACAATCGACGACATTCAGTTATTTTACAAATGACGCAGCGCCCCCACTTGACTGGCCCAGCTGTGGTGATTTTTAAAAAAAAAAAGTGGAATAAATAGTTTTGGGAAAGGTGAGGTGAACGCGAAACCACCACACATTGGTCTTATTTACAGATAATCGGTTGCTATTATTTATTCATGATATGCAGACATCACTGAACGAATACAGAAAAGTAGTGGGGTGTGCTCGCTGCATAATGCGGTAAACATTGTGGGTCGCGTTAAAGGTCAACTTGTCGACAGTGCCAAACTGTTTTTCATCTGAACAGAACGGAACAACTCCAAATGCAATCGATTTGCCGCTTCCGCTTGGAAGGGCAACGAAAACGTCGTGGCCGTCAGTCACGGTAAAACCATCAATTATTGACTTCTGTGCAGATCGCGCTTCACTGTAACCCAGTCGAGATAAAGATACACGCAGGCTACTTCTCTCCATTGGAATAATTTGTACGGAATGTTATAAATAGTAATTATGATTGACGATCGAGAAACTTGAAGAAAAGTGAAGTCTTCAGGTACAAAGGTTAACAAGATATAGTTTAAAGGTCAAATTACTCTGATTGGATAACGTTCTTGCCTGTCATTCTGTCATTAACATAAAAACTAGTACGAAAACACACTAGTTCCTGCTTTCACCACAGAGGGCGCGGCAAAAATGTCCAGTCTGGGTGATTTCGCGGTTACAGGGGATTTCCCGTTAACACCTCCATTTCGCTATTTTTTTTTTTAATTATTTTATATTTAAAAAAAAATAATCGCCAGACTGTACCAGTCTACGCCCCATTTGTTGATTTTAACATGCATTTGGAAGGTGTTAAGAGTAGGCGTCGGATTTAAGACTTGGGGGCTAGAAGACGAGAGGAGGGAAGGGCAGGGAAGAGGAGAAGTAACTCCAAACTGCAAAAGTTGACCATTTTACATGACGTTTTCAAAAAATATCTGATGATTCATTTTTTATTATTTGTTGATACCTTATTGGCATATAATAACTAAAGCATATAATCTACATAACTCTGGACATCTCTAAAGCGACGGGACAGTACGAGATTAAGTTTTTTTTTTAAAACGTGGATATATCCAATTTTAATCCTTTTAGATTTAAATCGTCAATATTGACAAATAGATGTAAATTATTAGTGTGGAAGATTTGTCGGATTTAATACTTTTCACCACGAGATCTTTTGAAAGAAATAAAAATGTATTGAGATGAAGCGACGCGACGCAACGCTGACCGCCAGTAATTTCTTCAACTCTGTCATAACACCATTATCCTACAAGTGTTAGTCGACGATGAATTGGTGGTTATCAATTTATTGTCAGTATTTATTGTTTGGTCAGCATTACGGCTGAACATGTATAGACATGTACGTGTTTTTGTATAGGGCGTTTCCATGGTAACTATATTTATATGGCAGTCATTCAAGTCCAGAAAGGAGTCACTCGAATAAACATTATTTGAAGAAGAAAAATTGGTATTCTAAAAAATGTTTAAGATGTCTGAATGTACTAGTAAATTATATTTCTGAATCCGTTAGCGACTGCGACAGTGAAGTTTGAGTGAATGTTTAACCACGGTTACTAAAAATGAACCATGATTTATCTCGCTTTCAACTGACTTCAATGGTTAATCAAATCAATTTTAACGCGTTTGGATAAATCAGGGGCCATGATGTAAAAAAAAGCGGCATCCAGGGTGTGACGCTGTGCAAAATTGCTCATGTGTGTTTTGGTGCGAGTTCATTTACACCATGACTACGCATACGTGGCTTCCCGTGAATATGTTTAGATGACATTGCGGTATGCTCGAATTTTATATCCCATCGTAAATTATAGCTACTTACTATTCATGTACTCTACCATAATATCGTACTGTGAACCACAATAGATATATGGTTAAACAGAGAAACGTTGCAACAGAATGAAATTATATGTTATCACGATAATAAACGCATTGAATTCTGCTATAGTATGAGGTGTGATCTACAGAAACATACAAACAACGCAAATACGAACAAAATTTGGCTTTCGACCTCACGCTTAAAGCTTTGTCGCGGTGGCTGTTAAGATTGCATCGCATCGTGCGAACTCGCATAATAGGGGAGAACGCTTCGATGCTAACAACTAAGCGGTACTCGATCAAACAGAATGCCGTCGGTATGCTCTACCGCTGTAACAATATTGGCATCGCACGCACCGTTGACGGAACCGAATATGTTTGTCTTCGAAACGTCATTATTAACGTGAACTCCTCTATTGATTCCAACAGTTGAGTTTTATGCATGGGCGCACTGCGGTCGGTAA